TTCAACTCCCAGAATCCCTCTGCCAGCATGGCACCCTATATCAGGAATAGACAACCTTGGCTCTTTTATGACTGGTGGACTTCAACTCCCAGAATTCCTGAGCCGGCAGGGCTCAGCTTGGAAACCTCTCCCTTTCCCCTCAGCATGGCTGGCTCAGGAATTCTGGGAGTTGAAGTCCACCAGTCATAAAAGAGCCAAGGTGGCCTACCTCTGGCCTAGTTGGTCCATGAAACCTCTGCAAGGAAACAGCCAATTTCAGAAGGACCCCACAGTCCTTGTCCTCTTCTCCTCCTCCTTCTCCCTCTTCTTCCCTTTTTTCTTTCCCCTCCTCCTTCTCCCCTTCCCCAAACTCCTCCTAGCATTGATGTTGTTGCTGAGTTGGGCCATGAAACGTCTGCCAAGAAAACAGACAAACTCAGAGAGCACCGACGACCACCACAGTTCAACCCTGATCTCCGAATATTCTCTTCCGTCGGAATAATAATTTTCTACCATTGGAGGGTTTAAAACACAATGTAAATCTTTGATAGGCAATATTGGAAAAATCATACCACAGTGCCCACCCCGCCAAGCCCCCCCTTGTTACTCTGGTGCAGTCAACAACCCGACAAGCAGCAAGTATTCCTTTTGTGAATCTTTCCACTTCTTGGAAGATTATCTTATGTGCAAAGTGGAGACCGGGCACCACACGCTGAGCTGCAATTAAAATCTAATTTCCACAGACTCTCTCCGAGAACATATAAAAACCAGGATATAATTATCAGCCATGTTTACCGTCAAGCCGTTAAAGCCCCATAAAGGACCCCACGACGCATTCTTCAGAGATTGTGCGATACATTCTTAAGAGATTTGTGTGATGCACAGTGCACGACAGCTATGCCAAAGGGGCCTCACCCAATATTTGGGACATTAATCATCTCAACGGTGACGTCATGCCCAGAATGACACAGGGGAAGGAAGGTGCCGGATACAGAATTTTAATTGGCAAAGGCTGAAAAAGGAAAACCTCTGAATATAGATAGTCCTCGGCTTAGCAACAGTTTATTTAGTGACTGTTTGAAGTTACGACAACACTAAGTAACTTTTAACCATTTTCACATTTAACGACCATCACAGCATCCCTGTGATCATGTGATCACAATTCAGACACTTGGCAACTGACTCATAGTTATCCCAGGGTCACGTGATCCCCTTTGGTGACCTTGTGACAAGCAAAATCAGTGAGGAAGCCAGATCCACTTAACAACCAGGTTTATCAACTTAAGAACTGCAGCGATCCACTTAACAACCAAGGCAAGAAAGGTCATAAAATGGGGCAAAAGTCACTTAACAAATATCTTACTTAGCAACAGAAATTTGGTGCTCAGTTATAGTCATAAATTCAAGGACTGCCTGCCCAGATATTTCTTTTATAATTTTGCTATTTTTACGTGGAATGGCATCCTAAATGGATGGGTCATTGTACAGCAGGTAGGACAAGGTGTTTCTATTTAAGCTCCTGACATCATCCCGCAATAACCTTGTTGGCCAAGCTTCAAGATTTGAAGTTCCATAAATTTGTGACACGTTTTCAGGCAAAGCCAATTATTCTCTTATTCTCTCTCTCTGTACAATTATACTAAAGGGGGGTCCTTGACTTACAATTTTCCACTGCCAGAAAGCTGCTAAGTGAGCTGAGACTCATTGTATGACTTTTTCCCATCGTTGTTAATCACTGTGTTTGTTAAGTCAGTCACACGGTTGTTAAGTGAATCTGGTTTCTCCCACTGACTTTGCTTGTCAGAAGGTCACAAAAGGGGATTACATGACCCCAGGGACGCTGCGACCGTCATAAGCACAAGTCAGTTGCCAAGCGTCTTGAATTTTGATCATGTGACCATGGGAGACGTTGCAACGGTCGTAAGTGTGAAAAACGGTCGTAAGTCACTTTTTCCAGTGCTTCGGTCACTCAATGGATGAGTTGTAAGTCAAGGACAGCCTGTGCGCTTCTATGCTTTTACAGACAAAACCTTGCAGGAATGGATTGATTTATTTGGTCAATTTATACAGCTGCCTGCTTTTTCTATGTGAGAGACAGCACCTGCTGAAAACACAACCACAACACAAAAAATCTGATCCAAGACGCAACCACCGAAATTACCTAAAGCCACACAGAGCTTTGTGTGGTCTCTTCTGTAGTCCCAGAGGTTAGAAGGTAACCCAGGGTCCCTCCTGCCCCCCTTCATCCCTGGGGGTCTCCCCCTCCTCCTGTTTGCAAACCCCCCACCCTTCTAGCCCTGATGGTGTTCCCTAGTTGGGTCATGAGGCGTCTGCAAGGAAACCACCAAGCTCAGAGAGCACCATGGACCCTCCAGTCCCCCCTCCTCCTCCTCCTCCTCCCTTCAAGTCCTGATGACATTGCCTAGTTAGGTCAAGAAACGTCTCAAGAAAGCAACCAAGCTCGCAGAGCACCAGATCCCACAAACCACCTCCTCATCCCCATTCTCCTCCTGTCCTCCGCTCAGAGAGCCCCAAGGACCCCACAGTCCTTCCTCCTCCTCCTCCTCCTCCTCCTCCCTCCTCCCTCTTCTCCCCCCTTCCTCATTTCTCCTCCTTCCCTCCTCCTCCCTCCCCGGCTTTTCTCTCCTTCCTGTCCCCCT